GGATCAGCCCTGCCAGGGGGAAGCCCGTCAGGACCGGCAGACCTCAATCCCCGAGCGGGCGGCCAGCGCCGTGCCCTCCAGCCCGCCCATCACCACCGGAGCCCCAGCCACGGTACCTTGGATGGAGATGAGCACCTGGAGAAGGCTGGATTTGCTCGTCCACCTCTCTGTCCCCTGAAACACACGGACGGTCACCTCTGTCCCAGACACCCCTCCGACGGCCTGTCCCCCATCCCGACGGGTGCTGGCATGGTACTGACCTTTCCGATCCAGGTGCCCAGGAGGCTGACACACACCTTCCCATTGTCATACAGGTTGGGGTTCAGACGGCCACTGCACTGGGAGAGGTAGCAGAAGTGGGGGGGCACGGCCGGGTAGATGTTGGGGAGCTGGATGTCAAACAGGTAGAGGCCGTCCTCATAGGGGGTGCGAGTGGGGCCCTTGATCAGGGCTGAGAAGAGGTCCTAGAGGAGGGAGGCGTGGCTGGCAGGGGCTCTGCACATGGGTCTCCAGAGCGCGTGCGGGCAGAGCAGCACCTGCGACTCCCCAAGGCCGGCGGCGAGACGCCAATGCAAACCCTCTGTACAGACCCACCCAGTGTCTTTTAGCTCCTGGCATAAAGGGAATTTTCCAGGTTTTACTTCTCTTTAACCATGATTTCAGAAGGCTTCCGCAAACACCGGCCCTGACCCAGGCCCAACAAGGCAAGAACACTGACAACCATCAGGGTGAAGGAGCGCCGCGGATGGCGGGGGCCAGAGGGACGGGGATGGGAACTCCAGGAGGACATGTGGGGAGAGCCACACAGACACCGAGGTCTGGGTCCGTGGCCCTGCTGGTGAGGGACGGACCATGAGTGCTCTCTCGGGGCCACCGTGGGCCTCAGGTTCCTGCACTGCGTCCCTTCCCCTCTGAGGGAGATTTGGGAAAAAACAGAACAAAACAACAACAAAGAAATACTATTCCCTTCTCCCTCAGCAGAGGTTGGAATTTTCAAAAAGATGTTTCCTGAGAGCCAAGAACCAAGCCCCCCCTGAACAGCACCCTCTGTGGTCTCTCTTTTGGGCCGAGCTGGGGCCTCGGTCAGACTCCAGCTCATGTCTCAGGGCGCCTGGCACACAGAGGGCCCAGCAGAGGTCTGCTGAGTAAGACAGGGGGGAGCAGGGAGGGTCTTGCCCTTCCTGGAATAAAGGAGGAAGCAATGACACAGCAGGCAGCATGACTCAAACCCCAGGCCCCGCCACCAGGGCAGAGAGGAGCGTGTGATGTCACATGAAGGCTACTCTGTGGCTAAAAAGGGAGGGACTAGACCAATATGAACCTGCGTAGGTCTCGAAATGACCCTGCTAAGCGAGAAAAGCAAGTTACAGGTGCTGTGCACAACGCCACGCTGTTTATGTAAAACAGATCGCACAAAACAGCTTGTGTTTATGATGGTGCATGAGAATGTAAAAACAAGAAACATCGTCCGAAAGGAAATGCACCGAACTCCTCAAGTCAGGACCCCGGAGGGCCGGGTGGGGAGTGGCCAAAGGCAACCTCAGCTCTTTCTGCAATGGGCTAATGTTTTCAGAAGGAAGTCTGGGCCCTGGCTTGTGTGGCTCAGTGGATAGAGCGTTGGCCTGAGGACTGAAGGGTCCCAGGTTCGATTCTGGTCGGGGGCACTTCCGGTTTCAGGCTCGGTCCCTAGTGGGGGCGTGCGGGAGACAGCCGGTCAATAGTTCTCTCTCATCAGTTATGTTTCTGTCTCTCTCTCCCTCTCCCTTCCTGAGGTCAATGAAGATATGCTTAAAAAAAAAGAAGACGGGACTCGGGTAACAATGATATAATTTAAGACGAACTTTAACACAGAGGGAGGAGAGAAGAGCCACCTGGTTGGACTTTGCCCCGACCTGACTGAGCCTGCTTCCCGCCTTATCACAGGTGTGGGTGGCCTCAGTGCCATCAGGCCCGAAGGCCAGGGCCCACACCGCCCACGGGCTACTTGCCATCCTGTCCTCGAAAGTCTTGACTGCAATGCCGTCGGGCAGCGAGGTGGCCAGCAGCGCCATCTCCTTGCGCACTGCGCTGAAGAACTTCTTGGCCTCTGGGGGCTGGAACTCAATTTTCTTAAAAGAGTGATTCGCTAGAGAGGCAAAGAGACCGTGCAACCCCTGATGCGAGGCCTGAGCACCCCATCTAGAAGGGCAGCTGCCGTGTGTGCTCCTCAGACAGGTGAGCAGCCCACCGTCCGTCCCCACTCTCTCCGCCCCCCCCCACTCTCCCGCCTCCCCTCCCGTCTCTCCTCCCACCAGGACCAGTGGCCACACAGGGAAGTGTCTGTCCCCCGGGCCCTGGAGCAGCAGAGGGGCTGGGTGGGGACTAGGCTCTGCCCCAGACCTGCAAACACCAAAGGGGGAACTCACAGGGCGCGCACTCCAGCACCGAGAAGACCTCGCCCTTGGCGCTGGTGAAGGTGACGCCAGGCTTGCCGCCGCACTGCTGGCAGAGCACCGGCGTCTCGCTGGGCCACTCGGCCTTCATGGGAGACTGCGCCTCGGGCTTGTCCTCCTTGCGCTCGGTGTCCGGCAGGGCCTCCATCTTCTCCTCCTCCGCGATGGCCACGTTGTCCAGGGTCTTCTTGAGGTTTTCCTGCAGCTTCTTGATGTCGTCCAGAAACTTCTTCTCCCGCGTGGGCTTCTCGGGCTCCGCCGTCGGGGAGGTGGGGGAGCCCGTCAGCAGCTGCTCCACCGTCATGTTCTTGAGGCTCTCCAGGATCTTGATGGCTTCCTTCAGCTCCCGGAAGCTCTTGGGGGGCCCGTCCTTGCCGGCCTTCTCTATCAGCCCGGCCACCGGGGCGGCCATGGCCACAGCCCCCTGAATGGCGGCTGTGGCAGCCTCTTCGCTGATCACCACGCCCTTGTCCTCCTCGGGGGCTGCCGGCTGTTCGGTGGGTGGGATGGGAGGCTCTTCTATCTTGGGGTGCTCGTCTTCCACCAGCCCATTGTCCGTCTCCCAGCTGTCACTGTCGTCCTCCCACTCATCGGAGGAGGCCCCACTGGTGCTGCCTTCCACTGAGTCGTAGTCCGACTCCTCGATCTCAGACTCGATGTTGTACAGGTGCTGGGAACAGACGGCACCTCTGAGAGCTCTGCCGGCACCAGGGGCCGTGGCCGCCCGCTCCACCCGTCCCCTTCCTACGCTGGACTCTGCAGGTCGCTCTGTGCTAGGGGAGGTGCCTTTACCTGCTCCATCCCAGCAACAGCAACTGGAGCCCCAGCCAATAGACTGCTCCTCCCACTGTGGGCTCAGTCAGCCCCACCCCCAGAGGACTCGGGCCCCAGGCTGTGTGGCTACACTGGGAGCTGGGAACATGCCGGAGGAAGGGGCATCCGGGACAGCTGGCCTGGGTCACATGTGTTCCCAGCCCGGAAGGAGGGGAGAGCTGGGCCTGAGGACGGCTTGACCAAGGAGGTGAAGGAATGGCACCGAGAACAGCGCTGAGCTCAGAACCCCAGCAGGTGCTGGGCCAGGTGGCTCTTCTTCCTTAGTTCTGGGAAGGTTTCCCTGCCACCCTCAGGAAGGAACCTGCATCTTCTCAGCACAGGGAGATGGGGACCCAGGCCCATCAGGGAGGTCTGTGACGTCTACATGCACCTGGGGGCTGCCAGGTGGGGTGAGACCACAGAGCTGGGCGAGTAATGCTGCCCTCCCTCTCAAGCTTCCCGTGGAACTGTTACCCACAAGGAAACGCCTCACCAGGAGGATGAAGGCCTAGCCCCTGGTCCCTGAGCGGAGAGGGCAGGCCAGGCTTCCAGCCCCGCCGCCGCAGCTGAGCGGTCTGGGCCTGGCAGGGCCGTACCTGGGGCAGGATGATGGTCTTGGAGTTGTCGGCCCACACCACCTCCACCTTGCTGCTGACGTCCACACGGGCCACCTGGCCAACCGATGGCTGCTGGGCAAAAGGGGCAGGGTCAAGGGTGCAGCCCTACAGGAGGGGCGAGGCCAGCACCTCTGAAAGGGAGTGCCAGCAGTGGGTGGCAAGGGTGAGGCCGTAAAAGTAGGAGGGAAGTGGGCACCATCTGGAAGAGGCCAGTGAGCAGCTCAAGCACGGGGCCCTCTTGCTCAAACACCTCCAACGTGCCCTGCCAAGCACACCCCAGCCGCCCCCTCCCTCTCGCAGCATGCCGGTCTCCCAGGCGTCCTGTCCTTCCCAGATGGCTTCCAGCCTCAGGCCTTTTGCCCCTCCTGCCCGACCATACCCACCATCCCACCTGTTCTCCAAGGCCCAGCTCGGATGCCACCTCCCAGCCGGGCCGGGGTTCCTGCAGCGCTCATCAGGCTCCCGCGCTCAGGACAAGGAGAGGGCTTCCCTAGCGACCTGACAGGTGGGGGCAGGCGCTCCTGGTGCCGGTGCGGGGGTGGAGGGGCAGCTTGGGATGAGCCAGAGGACTGGAGGTCTGGTCTCCCAGAGCCACCTGGTGGCACCACCAGGCACTGCAGCTGCTGCACAGGAGGCACAGCTATGGGAGATTGAACTTGGGGTGCATACCTCATCCTCCTTGGGAGGAACTCCGTCCTCAGTGTTGCCGATGCGGATGACGATGTCGGTTGTGCGGAACCGGAAGTCAGGGTGGTCAGCGATGTCATAAACGCTCACGTCTTCCTCTTCACCAATCAGCTGGGCACAGGGTGGGTTTTCGTGAGCCCAGGGCCCTGCGCCCAGCCCACCAGAGCCCCCCGAGGAGGACGCAGGTCTGCACACTCACCTCCACGTCGTCCCCACTCGGCCGCAGCTTGAACCACTTCACCACGCAGGTGCGGCCCACGTGGTCCCCAGACTGCACCACACCGTAGACAGCGGGGTCTGGGCAGCTCTGGACTAGGGAACCAGAGAGCACACGACTCAGGAGCCTGGGTGGTGTCACCTCCTACCCTCATCCACCCACTACGTGTCAAGCCCAGCAGGGCCCAGAGCCCACGTGTTCCCTGGCTCGGTCAAGAGAAGTCGGAGAAGGCTCCCCGAGTCCTCCAAAGAGCAGCCACTCTCACAGGGGAGTCTCCTGACCTGCGCCCGCTTGCCCGTTTCCCAGGCCCTGAGAAGGAATGGCCGCCTGGAGCCGGCACTACCTCGCTTGTCCACCACGAAGTCCCCGGGGCAGAACTCGTTGTTGTCCAGGTGGTGCACCGGGAAGAGGTCGTTGGAGCGGATGTTGCACTCCACGGAGCCGTCCTGCCACATCACGTCTGCTGAGGTCATCGTGGTCACCACCTCCACCGCCACCCTGCAGTGGGGCCAGTGAGCCAGGCCACCCAAAGGCCTTGGAGAAAGGGCAGGCACCCTTCCGCCCTCCCTCTCCCTTGTGGGCTTGGTGGCCTGGAACTTCATTCAGACAAGCAGGGCAGGCCAGCGGGTGCTCACCTAGAGCCTCCATGGCCTATGACCTCCCTGAGAACATCCCGTTTGGAGAGCTCAAGTGAATGGTCAAGGCCGCCACCCCACCCTCTTACTCTCAGATCTCCCCTTCCCACCCGGGCCAACCCCAGGCACCGACATCATCTCAGCTGGGGACCACGAGCCTCTACAGCAGGGGTGGGGGACATTCGGCTCGAGGGTCATATAAGGCCCAGGAAACCATTCGGTCTGGCCCTGCCGAGGCGTTAGGGTGAGTTAATTAAATGTTTGACCAAATGCAGCAGCTGATCTTTAAGTTGGTAATTAAGGCCCTTGGATGATGTCATAAGTATTCAAGTTGCCCTTGGCAGGGAAAAGGGTCCGCACCCTTGCTTTATAGGGTTGCAGACGCTGTGTGTGAGCCCGAGTGTGCACATGGGGGGTTAAGGGGATGGTCCCAGGCTGGACACTCAGCCAGGAGGGAGGGGGCCCTGCCCTTTGGATGTACCTGTCGCCCGGCTTGAAGTCACGGGTGATTTTATTCTTCTTCCTCTTGTGTTTTCGCTTTAAGTTCTTGATAGACAAGGGGATGCTCTTTTTGCGATTCGTGCCACTGCCGCTCTGGGAGGAGGTGGTGGAGCTGGCGGAGGAGGTGACCGAGCTGGTGTCGTCCGTGTCCTCAGCAGCCTCGTCGTCGGCGTCCTGCTTGGCGGAGTGCAGCCTGTCGTCTCC